TTGAATAAAAATATTTTAAATCACTTTAGTAGCCTACAAATTATGGATCCAGTATAGATCTCGGAGCTAGAGCTATTCCAAACGGAGCCATAGCATTTATGTCCTCGTTTTCATTAATGTTTAACACTACTTTTTCTCCCGTCGTAACGTATGGGCACATTTTGCTAGTCATAAATATTAGTCAAATTTCTTTTCTTTCCTAAATATAGTGGATATAAGCTCATGCCTAACTGCATGTGGAAGACACATAAACCAGGCCCATGCGAGGCCAGATACGGGCGGCCAAAATCAGAGCTTAATTCTCCTAAAAAAACAGAGCTTAATTTTGGCCGATCAACGCCACTGGCAGGGTACTCACGGGCACAATCTGTTTCTAAAAAAAACTCACGGGCACAATCTAAACACACCTTAATTTTTGCCATTTAAAACCCTAGAATTCCCTTTTACACCATTTGAATCGTCAAGATTTATCTTTTCTATGAAACATATCTTGGAAAGAAAGTCAGTTTTTCCATATGAGCTCCTGTGGGGGTAATATTTAAATAGAAACTATAGAGCTCAATAGAATTTATAATTTTGTAGCTCACAATACAATGACCCCGTGCGCGCTTTGTTTAACTAGCCCAGCCAGTCCGCTTTCTTCGTGGCTCCCGTGGGCCACAACTAGACTATTCTGGTGGCCCAAAGAACTTCTCTACTAGGCTATCACTTAGAGGTCTAGAACCTAGCACCGGATAACTTCATTACCTGACACCAAACAAAATGCCTCCAAGTTTGAACTCTCTCACTCGTGCGTTGGCCAACCACGTCGCCCCTCTGAGATAGCTTTCTCCAGTGCCTCACACATTGGGAGCACCAGAAATCGGTGCAACTCTAGGCACAGAAAATAGCACAACGCAGTGTACGTAGCCCTTTCTGTGGTGGTCTTTGCACGCCATAATCGAACTATTCCGGTGGTAGCAGAGACACTCCACCGAGCTCTGTTTCAAAACATTTTCCAAATGCACTAATTCCAGATGCTATCTCGTAAGATCACCAACACCTTCAGCCTTGAGTTAGCATTTTCAAAGTCATCTTGCAAAGGTTTTCTCTCTCCTTTCCACGCCACTCAATCTAAATGCATCACGAGTTAGATATCACCTAGTGGCACTAGATAGCGGATTAGCCAACAAGAAAGCCCATATTGATAGTACTTAGGTCGGTGCGAAATGTGGCCAACAAGTGAATATTTGTAGTTTTGCCGTGCGTTGTGATCGGATGTGGCCTAGCACGCGATGACACAGGATTTATACTGGTTCAAGCAATGTGCCCTACATCCAGTTTCAGTCGGTCGGTGACTTTATTCCTGAGCCCAGATGCTCGAAGTTTGTTGTGGGGTTACAAACGAGTAAGGAATGAGAAGGGGGTGTTAGAGGCCTGGTCGGACTCTGATCCAAGTGGAAGAGAGTGATGGATGCTCAAACGTACGCTAAGTATTGGAGCGTATGCTCTGTGTGTCCGAGCTTATCAGCTGTTGAGAGCGTGTAGACTGTGTAGCTTTAGAGCTCTCTCTTGGAGCGCATCCCCTTTTATAGATGAAGGGGATGGCCTTACAAGTTAAAGACGGAAAGGGAGAGAGTATGTACTGGTGCTACCTAGTCTTGTTGCCCACGTCGTCGGGTACGGCACGCCATCGTCCACCTTACTGTTCATGACCTCATGACCTATGGTGCCTGGCAGGCTGCACAGTGTTCACCCACCTTACTGTTCATGACCTGGCAGGCTGCACAGTGTTTGCCTGGGACAGCCAACGACGGCGCCCACAATACTGTTTATGCTCTGTCGCGTCTGGCAGGATGTATAGTGTCTGTCTAACATGGCCTGACGGCACTGTCCTGTAGGTGCGCAGGGCATGGCAGGGTACGGTCCTCGGTATTGCGGTTAACTTGAGCGCCTTACCTTATTTGCTCCGCCTGCTCCTCGGGCCCACATCGAGCAGGCATCCTAGTCGGTCGTTCCCACTTGGCCCCAACCATGTCGGTCGGGAAAGAGAGGCGAGCGAAGTTCCGGCATATCCTCGGTCGGAGGAACGGGGTCGGAGTCAGACTGTGGTCCCACCTTGGCCAGGCCTTCCGGTCAGGGCTCCGACCAGGTCTCCTGGCCGGAGGTGCCAGTCGGGGACTGGATCGTGGTCTCGGCCTATCATTGTGTATCTGGGCCAGCCCAGACGCACGCTGTCGCTGCGCCGTCTGCTGGGCCAAGTATTGCAGGGAAGCAGGTCTATTGGGGACCCCGGGTTTATGAACCTGACAACTTATCTTTCCTAAACCTAGTCAAGAACTTCTCTACTCAAGCTTAGACCAGTGAAATTAAATAACCTATAAATATGCCTTTGCCTTGTGTGTTCCATTTTTACTTCATGTTAGTGACACCACACAAGCATCCAACCTCAATCTTCATCTTCCAATGCTGAACAATGGTCAAGGATAATTGTAGCCAACCATGCTACCTTGATCATTCGCCCATAGCATGAAGCTCCTCCATCACCCCTCCATCAAGCCACTTGATCATCAACACTTCACTTGATCACCTTGGAATGGTATGATCCAATTCATAGCTTCACATGGCCTTATTGGTCCAACGATCATAGCTTTGCTTGCTCTTCACCTTTGCCTCGTTCATCGGCACCAAGTCCTCTACTCGCACTTCACCACCTCGATAGTGCATCACACCCGAGCCTCTAGCTTGCCCTTCACTCTTTCAACCGGTCGTTTGCATAGCCATATGTGAGAGTATATCATGTCTCATATACAATAAACTCATTCATCTTCACTCGTTGAGCATTTGCATCACATGTGAAGGGACCATGACGCCTAAGAGGGGGGGGGTGAATTAGGCAACTTAAAAATCTAACTCTAAACTATGGCCTCTTCTTCCAATCCTAGCAGAACCTATGCAATAGATGAACTATCTAAATGTGCAACTACGGTTTAGCTAGTGTGTTGCTATCTCTACCGCAAAAGGAGTAATACAATTAATGTAAATGTAGAAGCTAAAGAGCAAGGTAGAGATATGCAAACTCCCGTCGATGACTTCGGTATTTTTACCGAGGTATCGAGAAGCGTGCAAGCTTCCCCCTAGTCCTCGTTGGAGCCCCTCGCAAGGAATCCCTCGCAAGGGCCAAGCTCCCGATCGGGTAACTCCGTGGATAGCCTCGGGCCTTCCCCACACGCAAGTGGGTCTCCGACGTGCCTTCCGGCAAGCCTCTCTCGGATGCTCCCCGTCGTCTTCACTATCAAGCTTCCGGTCGAAACGCCGCGGGCCTTGTTCCCTCCGGTACACGGTGGCTGCCACACCACAACCGCGATTGGTGTGATCTCACAAGACTACAAGCCCCTCCGATGTACAACAATGGTGCTCGCAAGCACCGAGTGATAAGAGGTATGCAAACCTCACTAAACACTAGGTCTAAACCTAGAGCAAGCGCATAAGCGGTGGTCTAATCAACCTAAGCACTTCGCAAAGCACCTACGATAATCACCTAATGAATCACTAAGCACTATGCAAGTGGAGATCACTAAAATAGTGTATCAACACCCTTGGTATGTTTTCTCAGCTCTACTCTCCTCATTTGGCCAGTTGGGGTTGTATTTATAAGCTCCACTGAGAAAGTAGTCATTGGGGACGAATTCCCGCTTTTCTGCTACTGACCGGACGCTGAAGTTGTCCTGACCGGATGTGTCTGGTCGTCCCGACCGTTGGAGCCGCGAACACTTGATCGGACGCTGCCAGCGTCCGGTCACCTGCCACCGGACGCGTCCGGTCGCAGTTTCGCCGCTCTGGAACCTCTCTGTACTCGACCGGACTCTGCTGTCCTGCGTCCAGTCGATCTGCCGCCAGCGTCCGGTCCAGCGTCCGGTCGCTTCTGTGAGCTCGTTTCTTCACGATCTTGCGTACGGCTTGGTTCCTATCTTCATGCTTGGACTTTGCTTGATATCTTGGGTCTTCTCTTGTGCTCCTAGGGTCTTGCTTATGGTGTTGATCATCGGATCATCACATCGCCTTTGTCCAAGTCACGTCTTGCATCCTATTGAACTACAAAACAATCACTTGCAAGTTCATTAGTCCAATTTGGTTGTGTTGGTCATCAAACACCAAAATCCAAAGTAAATGTGCCAAGGGTCCATTTTCCTTACAACATGCACAAGCCATCTCTCCTCCATGGCTATCACTCCTTGCTCAACCTAGCGTGTGTGGGCCAAGTACCTATTCATCTCACATAAAAGACATTAGTCCATCTAAGGTTGTCACTTAATTATCAAAGTCAAACCAAGACTTTTAGAGTTCAAGACACATCTGTTGTGTTGGATTGAGCCATGGGTAGACACAACTTACACTTGAGTCGTTACAATATTTGGACAAGTCCTTTTGCCCCCGCCCCGATTATGTTCGAAGTCCATGTTTCCTCAAACACCTAAAAAACATATCCCCCCACCACACCACACACACACCAAACACACACACTTTTTAAAACCTTTTGTTTTTTCAACTTAAGCGATTAGGATGGAGATTTTAGCCTACATGTCACCATGCCAGCTGTGAGGAGGTAAAATGAACTACGTTAAGAGTTCAGGGACCAAAACAATTTACCAAGGAACAATTATAAAAATACTTTATTTTAAAAAAATATCTAGAAAAGTTACACATTATAATTCCTAAAATCTCATTTCACCTTAGAAAATTTGTTTTAGCTCAAAAAATATGAAACCAATTTTAATTTTTTATAAATAATGTTCTATCTTTTGGCACCTAGCTTGGCAGGTAGGGATAGCCTACCTGACACACATGTAGCGGTACAATTCACTCAACTCACATATCTTTATCTTTATATAATAGTCCTCCAATGCATGATGCTAATTTACAAACCTCAGCCATTATTGTTTAATAATAAGTAAAAACAGTACAAGACTATAAGCTTTGTTTCATCTACACCAACGCATGAGTCCGCTCAACATCTTCAATCAAGTCGACTTGACAATAGGGCTAACCGATATCTCACTGTCTCTAGCAGTGGTGTCTCTACTGCTCTGGTATGTGCCGCTCCACAATCCCGAGCTAGTTGAGCCACAGCCATCGCTGCTTCCCATGACATAATGGAAGGGGTTCACGGGCGGGACAATGGCCATCTCCCCCTCCAGCATCCGCACCACGCTGCTCATCGTCGGCCGTGCCGACGGCTGAAACTGCACGCACCACAACGCCACCTTGCACATCATCTCCGCCTTCTCTCTGTCCGCCTCTCCGACGATCCCGTCGCAGGACACGACGTCCTCGATCTCCCCCTGCTCGTACTTCTCCCACGCCCACCTCGGGAACCACTCCTTGCTTTCGCCGTGGCCGGGGTCGTAGTTCCGGCGCCGCCCCAGGATCTCGAACAGCACCATCCCGAAGCTGTACACGTCGCACTTCTCCGACGCCGGCAGCGCCATCCACAGCTCCGGCGCCGCGTACCCGGGCGTCCCGCGGCCGCCGCCGGTCAGCGACATGTGCGTGTTCTCGCGCTCGCCCAGCCGCGCCAGCCCGAAGTCGGCCACCTTCGGGGTGTAGTCAGCCGTGAGGAGGATGTTGGCCGGCTTGATGTCGTAGTGCACGATCCGCTGCTGGCACTCCTCGTGCAGGTACCTGATCCCCTTCGCCGTGCCGACGGCGATACCGTGCAGTGTCCCCCACTCCAGCCTCGTGGCTGTGCTGGGCTCCTGATCGCCGTAAAGGTATTTCTCGAGTGAGCCGTTCTCCAAGTACTCGTAGACTAGTGCCTTCGTGTTCGCGTCAAAGCAGAAGCCGTAGAGGCGAACGAGGTGCACGTGGTACGTCCGGCCTATGGTGCCGATCTCCGCCATGAACGCCTCTTGAACCTTCTTGTTCATGGACACCTTCAGGACCTTCACGGCCACCGGCAGGCCGTTCGGCAGCTCACCCTTGTAGACCACGCCGTAGCCGCCAGACCCCAGCTCTAACGAGTAGTTCCGGGTGCAGGCCGCCAGCTGCTCGGAGCTGAAACGCATCGGCTTCTCGTTGAGGATCTGGTTGAGGAACGTCTCAACTGGCCCGACCTCGATCACCACATCTTCCACGGCGTTGCTGGTTTGCATCTCACTCTCACGGTTCTTTTTCTCAATCTCCTCCAGGACTTTCTTTACGATTTTCTTCTTCATCTTCTTGCTCACGATGATTGTGGATACTGAACAACGAAATGAAACAGACAATAATTAATTACCTAGCAAGTCGCCACTGTACTAAGTCAATAAGGAGAAGAAGGTGCCAGATCGATGTATCGTACTGATTGCAACTGCATTCCCCATGTCTATGACGCTTCTGGGGCCGTAAGCTTGATTAGAGTCTGCGTCATGGCATGCGTCACATAAGCAAGTTATAGGTGAATGAACAGTTCAGTCAAAGCCTGGAATGAGCTTGCAATCCCAACTAGAAACACGCTGAGTCCTCGTTCACTTTAAAAAAAAAGTGAACCCGATGAATAGTACCACTTTCGTCTTATTTGGCAAATATTATCCAATCGTGGACCAACTAGGCTCAAAAGATTCATCTCGTGATTTCCAACTAAACTGTGTAATTAGTTATTTTTTTTACCTACATTTAATACTCCATGCAAGCGGCTAAAAATTGATGTGATGGAGAGAGAGTGAAAAAACTTGGAATTTGGATGGCATCTAAACAAGGCGTGATATTTTCTTCCTTAGATATCTACTGCCATAAATATGGGGAAGGAATAAAAAATTTGCTTCTGAACAAAATTTCTGAAAGTTCTGGTCATTCCATCAATTGCTCAACTACAGAAGGAGGCAAGGAGCACAAGCATGAACCTCGTATCTCCAGCAGCGAACCCACAGAAACATTCCTATAACATATGACTGACAGAATTAACAAACTGAGAAACTGGCTAGCCCAATTACCCCACCGAGAAAATCTTCAAAACAAAACGGAAACTAGCTGAGGGAGAAGAGCTCACCTGTGTGGATACCCTGGTTGTGTTCGATCCTCTTTCTAGCTCCTTGTGCTCGCTGGTGAGCAACTGCTGCGCTGCCCGCTGGGCTAAATCACTGAGGTCATGAGAGACCGCTCTCACTGGAGGAGCAGGAGGACGTATGCAGCTACGACTTGATAAAGGCCTGGCCCCCTGGGCAGGCACACACGCAGCTGTTGCTGACTAAGACGAGCTCGGGCAGATGCTCTGGCTGATCGGGCGGTGGCCCCACACTGATAGAAAGAGTTCGTGACACAATTGGGTGGTGGGTTGACACCACGTAACTTGGTCCACAGAAAATATTTAGACAAAAATCCTTTGACCCTCGACTATGTTGGAAGTCTAATTTTCCTCCTAACACCTTTAAACCAGATGTTGTTCCTCCTCCAATTTTTAAAATTGTTTTTTTAAGGAACAGGAGGGGCAAGGAGCCCCTACTGGATTATATTAAACAGTAAAAGGTGCGATACAAAACGAACAACAAAATTCCAGGAGTGGAGGGGAAACTAAGGCACTAAGAAAGGGAAAAAGAAGAGGTACACGAAAAAAATGGGTGGTCTCCAAATTAGTCTAAAATGGTTTATCCATTCCTGAATTTTGGGGAAATACTCCTTCTTTGCTATGCATAGCATCAGCTGCATCTCAATTTTGAAGATGGTTTTTGTATTTTCATCCTGAAAGATTTAAATGAAGGTTGGAACCTACATGTCGCAATGCCAACAGTGGACGATTTAAATGGAGGTTTTATCCTACACATGTCGCCATGCCAACAGTGAGAGGGTAAAATGAATTACGTTAAGAGTTCAGGGGTCAAAAAGATTTTAACAAGGAAACAATTATAAAAATAGTTTGTTTTCAATTCATCCAAAAAAAAATTCTGAAAATTTTACCTAATAATTCCTAAAATCTCATTTCACCTTACAAAATTTGTTTTAACTGAACAAATATGAAACCGGTTTTAGATTTTTTTTTTCTAAAATCTTTTGGTGCCTAGCTTAGCAGGTAAGGATAGCCTAACTATGTCACACTCGTAGCGGTACAATTCACTGAACCCACGTATCTTTATAGTCCTCCAATGCATGATGCTAATTTACAAACCTCAACCTTCACTGTTTACGGTAACTCAGTGAGTAAAAACATTAACTAATGTGTACAAAACTACAAGCTCTGTTTTCTCAACACTGACGCAAGAGTCCGCTCAACCTCTTCAATCATGGCGCCAGTCGACTTGGCAGCTGGGCTGATGGATAGCTCACTGTCTCTAGCAGTGGTGTCTCTACTGCTCTGGTATGTGCCGCTCCACAATCCCGAGCTAGTTGAGCCACCGCTGCTTTCCATGATATAACGGAAGGGGTTCACGGGCGGGACAATGGCCATCTCACCCTCCAGCATCCGCACCACGCTGCTCATCGTCGGCCGTGCCGACGGCTGAAACTGCACGCACCACAACGCCACCTTGCACATCATCTCCGCCTTCTCTCTGTCCGCCTCTCCGACGATCCCGTCGCAGGACACGACGTCCTCGATCTCCCCCTGCTCGTACTTCTCCCACGCCCACCTCGGGAACCACTCCTTGCTTTCGCCGTGGCCGGGGTCGTAGTTCCGGCGCCGCCCCAGGATCTCGAACAGCACCATCCCGAAGCTGTACACGTCGCACTTCTCCGACGCCGGCAGCGCCATCCACAGCTCCGGCGCCGCGTACCCGGGCGTCCCGCGGCCGCCGCCGGTCAGCGACATGTGGGTGTTCTCGCGCTCGCCCAGCCGTGCGAGCCCGAAGTCGGCCACCTTCGGGGTGTAGTTGGCCGTGAGAAGAATGTTCGCCGGCTTGATGTCGTAGTGCACGATCCGCTGCTGGCACTCCTCGTGCAGGTACCTGATCCCCTTCGCCGTGCCGACGGCGATACCGTGCAGTGTCCCCCACTCCAGCCTCGTGGCTGTGCTGCCCTCCTGATCGCCGTAAAGGTATTTCTCGAGTGAGCCGTTCTCCAAGTACTCGTAGACTAGGGCCTTCGTGTTCGCGTCGAAGCAGAAGCCGTAGAGGCGAACGAGGTGCACGTGGTACGTCCGGCCTATGGTGCCGATCTCCGCCATGAACGCCTCTTGAACCTTCTTGTTCATGGACACCTTCAGGACCTTCGCGGCCACCGGCAGGCCGTTCGGCAGCTCACCCTTGTAGACCACGCCGTAGCCTCCGGACCCCAGTTCGCACGAGTAGTTCTTGGTGTAGACCGCCAGCTGCTCGGAGCTGAAACGCATCGGCTTCTCGTTGAGGATCTCGTTGAGGAACTTCTCCACGGGGCCGATTTCGACCACCACATCTTCCACGGCGATGCAGGACTGAGCCTGGCGGTCTTTTCGGTCAAGCTCCTCCAATACTTTCTTTACGATTTTCTTCTTCATCTTCTTCCTCACGACGCGGCATCTTCTGATGAGGGCGATCATTACTACTACTGTCGCAGTTCCCGCGACTGAAGATGCTGAAGAACATCGAAATGAACACAGCCAATCAGCAAGTTGTTACTACTGCAAGTTAAGGAGAAGAAACAAGATACACGGTGTCAGATCGATGTATCGTACTGATTGCAACTGCTGCATTCCCCATGTCTGCGACGCTTCCGGGATGTAAGCTTGATTAGAGTCTGCGTCATGGCATGCGTCACATAAGCAAGTTGGTTCAATGAACGGTACAGTCAAAACCAGTAATGAGCTCGCAATCCCAAGTTCCCAACAAGAAATTTTAGTTTTCTGAACAAAATCTCTGAATGGAGGAGGATTCAAAACCGGCTGGGAGCTCCAGGAACCATTCTATTCTATCCTATAATCTCTGAAGAAAATTTAGTGTTCTGAACAAAATTTCTGAATGGATAAGAGTTACTGATCATTCAATCAATCTATAGATGGAAGGAGCACGAGCATATAACTGCATGAGGTTACCATCTCCTGACTGAATTAACAAGCCGACGTACCCAAATACCCTGACCGACAAGACATTCAAAACAGAGGAAACTAGAGGAAGAAGAAAAGCTAACCTGTGTGGATGGATTATCCAGGATTCAGCCAAGACTAGGGCCAAATCTTAGGGGTCAAATATTGTACACTGTAATGAGAAATTAGAATAAGGGATGAAATTGGGAACTTGGAACTTGGAAATTTGGAATTAAATCAGATCCAAACCTAACAAGGGAAGCTTGTTCCGTTGCTCTGCTCGCCTGCAACTCTGCAAGGAAGGAGGCGGTCAACCAGCAACGGGCGGGCAGCCGGCGCTCGGCTGAGGAAGGAGCCGCCGGCCGCGACGCCGTGGAGCGCAGAGACCAGAGGGGGGGCGACGGCGAGGCCGTGGAGCTGGAGCGCGGAGGTGGAGCGGAGGGCCGGTCCACCAGTCGGCGCAGGAGGCGGAGGCAGAGGCGGAGTGGAGGGGCGGTGGTCGAGTCTCGCGACGACGCGAGGAGCGAGCACGCCGAGCGGCTCTCTGTCTCTAACTCACCTGGGCTGCTTGTTTTGCGCTGCGATGGGCTAAGAAACTGAAGACCTGCTCCCTTGTTAGTGCTGGGTCCGCCCATGGATGGATAGCCTTAGCCTCTCCGTGTTCGGCCTTTGCTCGCTGGGCGCTGGCGCTGGCGCTGGCGACCAACTGCTGATTCGCAGGGGCAGAGCTAAATTATTGAGCAGATGAGAGACCGATCGAGCTGATGACTGGTGATTCGTTGAAGGAGAAAGATGACGCTTGCTGCTACGACTTATGAAAAGGCTCAGGGAAGGCACACGCGGGCAGCCATTGCTGACTAATTTGAGATGTTGACTGCGCGATGGGTCCGTTGCAGACTAATCTGTGAGGTTGCTTCTGCTGACAGCGACAAGCGCGGATTCTCGGAATTTTCTTCCGTTCCATCACCATCGACGGAAAGAGTGCAAGAGCAAGACGCATCTCCTCTCTTCTGGATTGGGCCGTGAAGCCGAACAATCTGTTCATGGGCCTCTGAACGCATGTAACAGCGCACGAAACCCATCTAGTAGCCCACGTAGGTCCATGTACGAATTCAGTCAGTTGTCCGGGGAGTGCAGCACGCTTGGCCCAGATGCTATGAATGAATCAACGAAACGTGTCTTCTCCCGCGAAAAGGAAAAGGTCCACGTTGCTTCTCTCAACTTTCGCGAAAGTTCGTTTTTTCTCTCTAAACTTTAAAACCGGACAAAACACTTTCCTCAACTTTTAAAACAATTCATCTTACCTCCCTGACCCTGTTATAAGTAGTTTTGAAGGCGCTTTTGTTTTTTTCTTTTTTATTTATATCGGCTGAATCTTTAAAAAATTATAGTAAATCACAGAAAAATCATAAAATAGAAAATCTAATTTTGTTGGACTCCACATGAGTAGATCTACATAATGAACATATAATATGATATGCTTTAATACAAAGTTTTTGCTGTGGCTTTAGATTTATGCTTTTATATAATTAATTGGAATAATTCAAAGCTGCAGTTTCTATGGTCCAATTATGATGAAAATTTTATGATGGGCTAATTATTGTATGATTAAATAGTAGTAAAAATTTCATACTCGTTCGATCATGCGTAGCTTAGTTATAGATTTATTTATATTTAAAAAACATAAATTTAAATATCTATGTGTCAGCGGTATATTCTTTCTGAGCTACGCAAGGCCCATTGTCTACATCATGCGGCGTTGTTTAGTCCCTCGTCTGGAGGGAAAAGTGGTCGGAACTACACGGCACATGTAGTGTGTGTCCATAGTTCCATACATGCTTTTTTTAATCATCAAAGATAAAAGAAAGAAAATAGTTTCCCTAGGTTCGCAACGATGGAGCCATACTTTTCGATCACACATGCCTGTCGTTGAGATTTCGGGCCGGATTAGTTAGCTTTCAATTATTGTCCAATCAAAATCATGGCAAGCTAAAATTTAGTCTTAGCAAAATTATAAAGATTTTAAAAATTAAAACAAAAAACATAGATGTACATTTGGCTGAGTGCCATAACAATAGTAGAAAACACTTTTTCTCTCTTTTCTAATCTAAGAAGTTTCTAGAGATTGCTAAATTTTTTGACGATAAATATCGATATGCTAATTCTTTGACAGCAAACCGATTGATGACTAGAAGTTTTATTTTACTATATAATTTTGTTAGATAAAAATTGGAAGCCAACCAAATAGAACCTCGTTATCATCGCTGCCTCCGCCTGAGTTGAGATTTTTTGGAAACACAACAAGCTCTACGTTGTTTGTGCCGCTTGGTACTATTCAACGAACGAGGAAGCTTATCGCCGAAGAAAATGCACCGACCCTTATCCAAGCAATTACCTGAATTCTTAGTGGTTATCCATCCAAAAAAATCATACGAATTCATGCCTATATATATATACACGCGACTTCGCTGCAACTGCGTAGGAAATATAGAGCAAGTGCATTTTGAACCAGAAGTCTTTGACCAAGCGACCCAATCAGGGCGAAGCCTCCCTTCTTATCTGCCCTTCCACCTTCCCGTCTCCATCGCGCACTTGCCCACCTCTCCCTCGCCGGCCTCGGGCCTTCCCCACCCCACCATCATCATCAAGGAGGAGATAGCCATGGTGCGGGCGAGTCTTCTCGGCGTTCGGTCAGCGCTAGCAGTCGGCGCTACCGCGGCCACGCAACACGACGGCACCCCACTCGGTCCCGTGGCGATCGTGTTCCTCGCGGTGGTCGCGACGGTGGCCGTGGCGGCCATCGCGGCGTTCGGGTGCGCGCAGGGCGCCAAGAAGCCGCGCCGGCAGAACAACAACAACGCGTACTACTACGGCCAGGGCTACCCGCCGCCGCCCGCGGGCGCGTACGGCTACCCCGCGCAGCAGCCGCCCCCCGGGTACGCGTACCCGCCGCAGCAGAGGCCCGGCCGCAGCGGCCTCGGATCGGGGGCCGCGGGGCTCGCCGTCGGCGCCGTCGGAGGGCTGGCCGCCGGCGCGATCATCAGCTCGGCGCTCGACTCCGGCGGCGGAGGCTGTGGAGGCGGCGGTGGTTGCGGAGGAGGCGGCTGCGGTGGCGGTGGTTGTGGCGGCGGCTGCGGTGGTTGACATCTTTCTTCTTTTGAATTCTGTTTAACATCTACCATGTGATTAGTGTGGCGATCTGCATGCAGTACGTTCGCTGGGTCGTAAACGATCGTAAATTTCCAATCAGAATAGTATTTTTCTCTCATACCAAACTAGCCAGTAGTAATAATTCACGATCGTATACGATCGTTTCAGCCCCAGCCGAACAGGCTGATGGTTTGTGTTCACGGTTTTCTTTATATTGTGATGAAAAGAAAAGGAAAGCACGAATTGATTCGATGGGAATTCGTGATGTCAGGATCAAATGTTCTTGTGCAAACCATATCCGATCTAATCATCCAAATGTTGTCGCGTACATATGTACATACTCATGTTTTCATGTTTATTATTATGATGATGATGCACCGAATCCTCATCACGTTCTCATTAATTTATTATTATATTCGTCCAATCTGAGTAAGTTCTTCTATTTTTGTTGTTTGCATAAATATATTACGTTATAGAATATAGCGTTTTGTGTTTGAAATATGAATGATGATTCATAGATTATTTCATAGTTTCAACCATGGATTATAGACAAGAATAATCGAGAACTCCGTTCATTCTTTTATTTCTCTTTTTAACCACACAAATTGGCCATTCAATGTAATCCGGCATTTCCTACCATTCAATGTAATCCGATACCGCGAGATCTCGTCTCCCCCACCGTGTGATGTTTTCCATCAATTGCTCCTCTCGCTCGTCCTTTTGGCTCCCACACTTAGCTCTGTTGCTCCGCCTCTCAGCTCCCACACTTGCTCCGTAGGTCCTTGGCATGGTTTGCTCCGTCTCTCTCCCAAGTGTCGCTCGACACTCGATTAGCCTAGGGCAACTTTGACGATAAATCTCTAGAGAAGAGTAACTCCGGCGATAGGTCTCTGGAGAGGAGGGACAACTCCATTTATAGTCCTCGGAGAGGGAGGGTCTCTAGGGAGGAGGGACAACTCCCTTGATAAGCCGCTAAGAGGGAGGGGCAACCCGGCCGTAGTTATTTATGGGGAGAAGCGCAATGTTCTTTCATTATCTAAAAATAAATCGTAAAACTTATTTGGTTGTACTTGAATTCAATTTAGAACTTATTTGGATTAGAGTGAATTTTAGTACAATCAAACGAAGTGTAAGGAAATAAACAATCCCACGGATATTTTAGAACAGAGTACTAGTTCTCTCTTCTCCGCGTCCTGCCATAGGCACTGATTCTCTCTCTCTCTCTCTCTGGCATTCATTGACTTTTTTAGTGTTTGACTTCTGGACCACTGTAAAACTGGTGCTAGCCTAGCACGAAAATGTCAAAACAGAAGATGGTCAATCACTGTAGTATCACGGCGCGTCGCTTATACAAGACCAAAATTATTTAGCTAGTTTTTTTTCGTGCTCTCTATTTCGGTCCACGGCCCACCTGACACTTAATTTTTCTTTTAGCAGAACCTGACACTTAGGTGATCACTTGGGGCGCGTTTGCGACCCTGGCCCGACGGCCTGGCTGCGCCCTCCGCGTCCAGCTTCCCGTGTTTGCGAGCTAGGGCCCACCAGCGAGCCAGGCCCAAACAATGCAAATCGCACTCTCTCTCATGGCTCCCAGGAAACGCGACTTTCCTTCGTTTCTTCAGAGCCTGGCTCGTTGAAGCGCGTCTTGGGCTCGCGTGGGCTCGTGGTGGGGATGGAATCACCTCCGACTCGTTTCTCACCCACCGTGGCGGAGCGGCGTGTCCTGGTCGAGCGGCCTGCCGGTGGTGGCGGAGCGGCGCGTCGGGGATGAGGCAGAGGAGGATGAGGAGGTGGGGCCGGATGCGGAGGAGGCGTGGGCGAGGGGAGGTCGGAGGTGGAGCGGCGCAAGCAACTCGAGCCGGCGTCGTGTTCGCCGTCGTCGCGGGAGTCCTCGCGCTCGCCGTCGTGGGCGCGGCTCGCCGCTGGCGTCTTCGCGCTCGCCGTCGTCGCGGGCGTCTTCGCCGTGGGCCTGGCGGCGCGAGCGGCCGCCGCGAGCAGCAGCAACGACGCGGCGGCAAGCGACCGGTGGATGACGCAGGCGACGCCGGCCACCACCACCCAGGCCATTGCAGCAACCTGCGCTTCGCCGTGCCCACCAGCTGCTCGACGAAATGCCTGTGAGGCCTTCTCTGGTGGTAAGGCTACCAACCCACACTTCTATGGTATAGGCACGCAAACACGTTCTGAATGCAGCCTGGTCCGTTTCGTAGGTGGAGGCAAACAAGATGAGTTGCAGCGGTTGAGGCCGGCCAAGACTGGCCTGGGCGTCATGGGCGGGCCGAGCCGGCCGCAACCACCCTCGCAAATGCCCCCTTGGTTTATTTCACAATTTTGGCCCAACGAATGGCCACGGGGCATGGGCCCACGACCAACTACTTTTCTCTCGTGGACTAAAGTTTAGTTCGTATCACATCGGACATCTGAAAGAAGGACTAAATATGAGCTAATTATAAAACTAATTGCACAAGAGTAGACTAATTAGCAAGACGAATCTATTAAGTCTAATTAATCCATGATTAGCATATCTTTATTGTTGCACCACATTGTCAAATCATGGACTAATAAGGCTTAATAGATTCGTCTCGTAAATTAGTCTCAATCTGTGCAATTAATTTTATAATTAGTCTATATTTAACACTTCAAATTAGTGTCGAACATCCGATGCGACAGGGACTCATTTTTAGTCATAGAAACCAAACACCTCAAAGTCGATTTTGTTTCATGCAGGTGAGTTTCGACCTTCAAATTGTACAGTACTCATAGAAGTTAAACTAACACTCCTCCATGCGGATAAGAGTGCAACTCTAACGTACAAGTTGTGTCTAAAAAAATCAGCTTATACACATAGCCCAATGAATGGCCAAAGCTTGACCCTGATTTTGTCTCACAGAGATACAGATGTGGTGTGCAAACACATTAGGGAAGTGAAATCACTCTGTTTTTTTTTTGTTAGATTTTTTTAAAAGAACCAAACAAAAGAGCTATCAATTATATTAATAAAAAATTTGGACTAAAATACAACGGCATTAAAGTAGTATAACAGAAAAACAACACCAATAGCAACTGTTACGAAACATTGCATCAAGCCATACACCAGTAATCTCATCCTATCATAATTGGTCTCAAAGTTGACCAAAACACTTGATAATAGATTAATATATACCCCAGCCCGCGTGCCGGCTGTTCTGCTGAGATATTCGAAAGTGACTTGATAACAACCATTTCTGCTCTGAAATCTACGCTCCTTTAGGCGAAGCTCTAGGCGCCGATAAGATCATCTGGGGGTGCGGACTGTTGGTGGGTGCGGACACACCCTAGGAAAAAAAAAACGAAAAACTGTGATTATGAGCACCTCCACGGTAAAAATCTAAGCACCATAAGACAAGTGCACCCCTCACATTTCTCTCCTAAAATATTTATGGCAAATCCCTTGCCATCTTTAAAAAAAGTAACGCAATCACCAATTATTTGCATGGCTCATTGTTAATTTTTATTGACAATCAATATGCTATGCTTTAAAAGGATAGGACGAAGATGAGTGCGTGCGTGTGGATTTGTGCATCCGTAGCGTGTTTTACAAAAGAAATGTGCATTATATTTGTACACATTCACATCTAGTACAAAATTGCAATTTATAGTCAAAATGAAGCCTTTCTGTTTCATTGGAAACCAGATGACAAGGGGCACATCACTCACGCATAACGCATAGACCCATCTTCCAGGGACACGAGCTTCTGCAGAACGGCGTTCATGTTTGGCCTCCAGACGGGATCGTCATCCACGCACGAAACCGCCAGCTCCAGCATTGCCGCCGCCTGCAAGCGGCTAAAGTCACCGTGCAGACTCGGATCAACGAACTCCTCCAGCCACGCCCACGACGACAGCTCCTCGTCACGCTTCGTGGTCTTCTCCGTTAGCCACGCGACCAGTCGCCGGAAATCCATGCGCACCTGGCACCTCCTCCTCCTCCGTCCCCCTGCCGCTCACCTTCACCGCCCAGTCGCAGACCCTCTGCCCCCTGAGCAGCTCTAGGAGCACGACGCCGAAGCTGTACACGTCAGCTTTCCCTGTGATCGGGAGGCCTGCCGTCCACTCCGGCGCGGTGTATGTGTACCCCCTGCGCAATGCGCTCGAGACGACATCCCCAGCCGGCCGCACGCGTCCCGGCTGAGCAGCTTCACCAGCCCGAAGTCGGTCCAGCTCCGCGTCCAGCAGTATGTTCTCCGGCTTCACGTCGCAGTGCACGATCCACTCCAGGCACTCGTGGTGCAGGTACGCCAGCCCCCTGGCAACGCCGGCGGCGACGTCAGATATGGTTTTTAGGCGGCTAATAAGCATTTGTATGGACGGTTCGGCCAACCGTCCGTACCATACCGTCTCTATAAATCATGTATTTATAGGGACGGTTTTCAGATCGTCCCTACAAATTGATTTGTAGAGGCGGTTGGTACTGTAGCCGCCCCTACAAATCGATTTATATGGGCGGTCTGGGAACATCAGCCGCCCCTACAAATCGATTTGTAGGGGCGGCTACAGTACCAACCGCCTCTACAAATCATTTTTCCGTCAAAAAAAATTTAAATTTACAATTCAAAATCGACCTGGAGAACCATGTGAAGCATCCATGCCAAGAATTAATGTTGGTATTTGAGTCACAACTGGTATCAATTGACGGAACACAGCAGTGCAAGTCTAATTTAGATACAATTGTAGCTTCATTTGGAAAGTTCATCATTTTAGCTTCCCTAAACCACTTGTCCACCCTAACAAGTTCAAACCCCCTAACCTCACACAGTCACACTGACCAATATGACCACGATCAGGATAGAAAGTGTTATCGATAGCTTATACAATATGTTCCAAGCAAGACCAAATGACAATGCAGTTTTCTTCCTAAATCCCTTCTAGTCATTGAATTGATGCTTCAACAAAGTACAAATATATCTTAGAAAGAAATTAACGAATGGGATTTAAAAGAAAAAAAACAAGCTGGACGGTGTGCACAATGATGTTGTATTTCAAATTAAGCACAATGAACAACGGAATCATATACATTCCTCTGTCGAAACACATGCATTTTCTTATAAGCTCCAAACATGTATAAAAACATTAAAGCAAGACATTACCTAACATAATTAAGGGTACCAAAGCCACCCAAAGTGCTCCAGATCAAAACTGGAGATCACAAAGAGCCTAAATAGGGCCTACATATTAAATAAGCTACAGATAAGTTTAATCACAGAGAAAAAAGAAGTTGATACACAAAATTCGAAACATGTAACTAACCATAAGCAGCTTATTCAGATGCAGTCCACCTTACAAGATGCCTCACTGGCTGAAGTTCATCTCTGAGTATCTGCAACACAAGAGCATAGCATGCATAAGATTGTGTAACAAATACAAGTGATTTGCAAGTCAAAAATGTTGAAAAGGATCTTACCTCCTAGGCTTGTTCTGACGCTGATCAAGCTCCTCATTGTCAATATCTGTTGTTCAAGTTTTTGAAACAATTAGTGAAGCAGCTTAAAATTATAGCATGAGCTAAGACTGTTTTCAATGCATAACAAAGACGCAGGTAGAACTCACCATTTCGAGGAGATTTAGACCCTCTATTAGCACTAGTTTCCCTGTAAGAATAATAGACTCAGAATCCTTTGTCAAGAGAAAAGTTTGTGGATAATATAATAAAAACATGGTACAATCAGACAATAGAGCAAGAGGAGGAAAATGTATAAGCACTACAAACAGTTTCCTCCTAAAGTATGTGCATTGCGGAAGAACTATTCAATACAGATACAGAGAACGTGTTTCAAGTCCTAGGCATCGCCGTCACCGTGGCAAAATCAGGGAGAGAAAGGGAGGCCAAGTGGCAGCAATATACCCATTCCAGGCATCTGTACTATTTAAGTGCATGAAAGTGAAAGCATTGCTACCAGGTGAAGGAAATAAACATTTTTAGACCAAATAAAAAGTAATGGGAAACTGGACGGACATAATCACAGGATTTTGATGCAAATACTGCTGTCACTTCTCCATTTTAGTGTCTTATTAGGGAACCCATGCAGTTAAGTGTTACTTTCAACAAACATGAATATACAACAGCAACATAGCACTAGACACAATCAAATATAAGACAGCAACATGTCAATACAACTGAAACACTAGTAATAGCAAGTGAAAGTGCATCTAGCCCTTTCGTGGGTTTTGGATGATTGAATGACAACGTGATTAAAGGTCTAACCCGTTTGCTAAGTGTGGACAGGTAATAGGTTATCTCACAGGTACTTAATGAAGGCCAAAATGATGTGTTGTTGTATAAACAATCTAGTTAAAGCACAAGATAACAATGCAAATGGAATTCATGCAAAGGCTTGTTTATTATGGGATTTCCATGTACTATGTGAAAGCAAGCTTGTGAGAATTAATTAATGAGACATAAGGGATTGCATATGGAATGGTCTCATATTTGAAGCTTGCTAAATTAAAATAAAAAAGATAACAATACATAAATGGATGATTCAACACAAGATGTGACTTGATGGCTTGAAATGGTGAAGATAGCAAGGAAAGGCTTTGAGGTACTAAGCAAGGGTGAAGGGCAAGCAACGGCTTGGCGGCCAAAGAACCTAACTAGGGTGAAGAAGGAAGTACTTGCATTTAGTTGAGGTACTAATTAAGCTTTGATGGCCATGTTGATATGAAGGATCAAATCATTATTGGAGTGTTTGATGGAAGTGACTTGATACATTTGGGATTATTCAAATTTGATGAATGGAATCAAGTCACGTGCTCAAGATGGCTATGCTCAAGTGAAAAAGATCAAAGTTGACATGTTAGCATCCTCACTTGATGAAGTTTGGAATACACGGCTTCAGTTGAAAGAGAACAACTCAAAAGGTTTAAATCCGTTATATATTTAAATTTTGAGTTAATAGGAATGACGTACTATTAAGAGGGATGTATCATGTTGATAGATAATGTTTCATAAGTGCTCAAGCCAACCCATGTGAGTTTTGAGTATTTGAGCGACAAAAGAGCTAACTTTATTTTTGCTGGTCTGGCAATACCGGACGTGTCCGGTATTTGCCCAGCAGTGGTAAAATTGTTGTTCTCGGGTTGGTTCGTCGGGAGTTCCGACGTAAGTCGGGAGTTCCGACGTCTCGCACTTTAACTGACTTGGAGGGTTCACTGTCCTGGTCATACCGGACGTGTCCGATATGCACGACCAGAGGCCAATGGCTAGTTTTCAAAAGCCTTGAGGGTCGGGAGTTCCGACGTGAGTCAGTAGTTCTGACACCTCACATACTTTAACTCAGTTACATGGTTTCAAATTTGCTGAGGGTTAGGAGTTCCGACGTGAGTCGGGAGTTCTGACGGTCAGGAGTTCCAGCATTCATCGGGAGTTCCGACGTCTCACATTGTCTCTGTAACTTAGTTACCGTTGGTGCAGTGTAAGTCATACCGGACGTGTCCGGTATTGCAACGGCTATAAAACGGCTAGTTTTTCAAGTGGGGTTATAAATACCCCCAAGCCTCCACCTTTGGAGGCTGCTAATTCTACTGATACACACACGTTTTTGAGCCTTGCGAACTCTCCCAACCCTCTCTTAGTGAGTGTTTGATCAAATTTGCCAAATCAAATTGTGGGTTGAGTGAAATTCAAAAAGAGAGCAATCCAACCACTTGAACACTTGTACATATTGTCTATCTCATGATTTGCATTTGTTACTCTTGGACTCTTCGGTCCTACACGGTTAGGCGTCGTCGGAGAGCACCCGAGAGATTATGGTGTGCCTCGGAAAGTTTGTAACGGTCGATTCCGCCGCCTCGGAATCAATTAGTGGAAAGAGGAAAAGGAGTTGGAAAAGACTCCGGCTAGAGTGACCTTCGTGGTACCCTCTAGGCCTGACCTTCGTTGGGTCGCCCGAAGCCCCCTCAACGGAGAGTAGGACTCGAACGAGTCCGAACTTTGGTAAAACAAATATCGTGTCTCAATTCGTATTTCATTTGATATTTGTGTTGCTCCAGCTCTTGTGCAGGTTCTCTGTGTATATTTATATCTCTAGTAGGTACCTGTAGTTTGGTTTGAAGATAGAAATCGAAAGCAGCAAGTTCGGGGCTATTCTGCAGAAACCGTGCATACCGGACACGTCCGGTATTCATACCGGACACGTCCGGTATTCATACCGGACACGTCTGGTATTAGAGCTCTGTGCTAAAAATATTTATTCGCAGTTCTAACTTTGTGTTGCAGGGTTGTAGCTTCTAGATACATTCTTTTATACCTTGTATACTAGGTGGCTAACTTGTGAGGGGTGGTATTACTCTTATTTGGAGTTTCTATTTTGGAAACTCCCTTTACTAATCGTTTCCGTATTTAAAGGTGTTAATTTTTAGAAACGTCTATTCACCCCTCCTCTAGGCGGTATCCTAGGTCCTTTCAATTGGTATCAGAGCGATGTACTCACCTAAAACTTCACCCCTCTGAGAAAAGGATGTCGACGCCTATCGAGTTGGAGCCGGTGCTTCTCCAAAATAATGGTTCAAACTTTCTACCTTGGTCAATTCATGTACTCAATGCTTTTAGGAATATTAGTCCTCTTGTTGAGCATATTGTAGATGCAAGCATACCTCTTCCTATAGTTGATTGGAGCAACTACAAAAATTTGTTGAAAGAGAAAGAGATATGTGTGCAACTCAATGCTCAAGCTATTAATGTCATTTTGAGTACATTGAGTGCAGAGGTCCAAGATGAGGCAATCTTCAATGGACAACCACCTCCGGAAGTGCTAATCTCATTTGGACTAGACTTTTTGATTTATATGAAAAATCCAAATGTGATGATGCACTTTGTAACACCCTAGGTGTTTGTCACCAGTTAAGCAATGGGTTTGAACTCAAACATGGCATGTTAAGTGGTGATGAAGGTGTCAAGATCAAATCTACAAGAGTGAGCTCCAACTTAAACTCGGGCAACACACCTTTGCTTGCATATTGGCCCTTTTTCGGATATTTACCTAAGTAGTGTTGAAGGTGCTTATTTCATGTGTCACATCAATTTCCACCCACATGAATGATTGGAAAAGTTTCATGAAGTTTGGAATCAAGAAGTCACCTGAAATGATAAGTTAAAAATCTTTCTTGGATTGCTTTATTAAGTGAATGGAATTATAGGTCATCAACCAAACCTTGCTACCTTGTCCAAGTGACTCTAATTGAATTCTACAACAAAAGTTATGAAGGGTTCGTGTTGAGCAAAGGTGGAGAAAATATCCGAAAATACTGGAAACCGTAGATTCTATAGCAAAAAGGGCTTTGCGTTGACCATGAAATAAAGTTGACTTCTGGACCAGATATGAGGTTTGACCAAAAATGAAAGTTGAATAAAAGTTTCATTATAACAAACTTTGTTAAAAGACCAAGTCATGATTCGGTTTCAAAATGGATCAAAACAAGGCTCAAAGTCTAATAGAAAAGCTGAAATCAACCCGACAATGTTTGCAGTCCGAAATTCACCGACATCGACATTGACATCCCGCGTTCTCCAAATTTTGCTAAGCAACTTGAGTTGGTCCAAAAATAAAAGTTGAAGGTTATATTATGGAGAAGAACATGTAAAAAGATGGCACCAGTTTGACCTCGTTTTCACCGTCAATTTGAATGTTTGCTTGTCGCTCTCAACACGCTGACACTAGCAGTTTGTGGCCTAATTACCTGCTGATCCAAAGCTCTAATGACTTGGTTCCTTAAATAAGAAATGTAGAGCGTCAGGAAAGAAGCAAACTTCGTTTTGGGCCCATTGTCAAATTCGGCCCGTAGAGGTCCCAAAGACGCGTTCCACACCGGCCACTCCGTCGCCCGCCAGCTGTTCGCGGAAATACCCCAAAGGATGCCGCGTGGCCTGTGCGTGGCAAGCATGCGTGAGCGCGCTCCGCCATTGCCGACGCGTGCCCTACTGCGTGTCTCACGCTCCTACCTCCTCCTCACATCGGTGCAGTGGCACAGGCTCCCCCTTGAAAGCTCTAGTTTGGTTTTGGTTAATTGATGAAACCATAAGTGCTAACCTAGTTTATCAAGATGATTATGAGATAGGTAGCACTACTCCAAGTGATGAAGCAATGACGAAGATCATGACAATGGTGATAGCATGGTGATCATCAAATGCTTGAACTTGGATAAGAAGAAAGAGAAAAACAAAAGGCTCAAGGCAAAGGTATAAAATGTAGGAGCCATTTTGTTTTAGTGATCAAGACACTTAGTGAGTGTGATCACATTTAGGATAGATAACCGTACTATTAAGTGGAGTGTAACTCGTATCGAAATGCGGTTATCAAAGTGCCACTAGATGCTCTAACTCATTGCATATGCATTTAGGATCTAGTGGAGTGCTAACACCCTTGAAAATATTTGTGAAAATATGCTAACACAAGTGCTCTAACTCAGCGCTTTTGGAAAAATGAAATGTCTATTTTCTATTGCGCCAGAT